TTTACAATTTTTTTTATTAAAAATTACAAGAAATCTAATTTTTATCCAAAACAAACAATGGTCTAAGTCTTCGTTCAATGTCCACTTGATTTTCACATGTCTAAGCTAGGTTTTGTTTCTCAATTGAGGTCAATGGTTAAAAAATTGGATGTAGTCATACTTACATGTGAGTCACATGATTCAATGGAGAATTAAAGAGTTTTCGCTATGTGGATTAACTTGCTTCTTTTTAAATGGTGAAAATTATTTTGCTATTCGGACAAGATGTTGAAAGCAATAGTGCAATTTTCCTTTTTAGAAAATCTTAACTTTAATCAATTTAAATCAAACAATTAATAGTATGAAGATAATATGTACGAGCACTCAATAGTTTAGCTATTTTTTAAATATTAAATTGCTATAATGGGGCTAGATTCCAAAGCCTAGCTTGCCCCAGAGAATATTGAACCAGCTGTTCAGAAATACCATACCATTTTTTGTGTTCACAAGTGAAAAATTAGTTTTTCTTATTCTGGCTGATGGTTAAGTTTCATCTGTTTCATCCCCAAATTACAATGAGCACATAGACTCGAGTGCCAATTCCTCTACATCTTCGACAAGATCACGAGTTCATTTATGTGAACGCAAAACAATATCGAGCAATATTGAGGCGCTGATAATACTGTGCCAAGCTTGAGTCTCTCAACAAATTGTCGAGAGTTAGGAGGGTTAGTAAATTGTAGTTTCAACTCTATTTCCTATTTATCAAATCAAGATTAGTAGTGTCAGTCATGATAGGTCAGCATAGCTCTATTGCAAAGATATCCGACCTACTATTATTTTTTGGCCCATAAACCTATTTCGAGATAGGAAAGCCGATATACAACAATACATCATTATTGTTTTGAATTTCTTTGTGGGTCATAGGGCAACCACGATGAGTGCACACTTTGAAACCACTAATCAAGGTTTGTACATATGCACTGAATGTTGAAATTCCGTAATTTTTTTACATTATGTTGTAGCCTTATCTACATGAATCTCGCCATCTTCATTCTTTACATAGGGCTAGAGGATCAGGTGGACACTTTCTCACTACAAGGAAACTCCAAGAATCTAAACCCAATTCTACGACTAGCGGACAAGACACCCCATTTGGGAATCGCCTCCAAATGACCATAAAAACTACGAAATGTGAAGTTCATCGTATAGAAGTTTACAAGGATGGTAATTCCACCAAATATAAAAGTTCATCCAGCAATGATGATTTTCTCGGCCAACAAGAATTCCGGTTATGTCTCTATTGTTCACATATTCAGGGCCAGTCCTGTTATCTTCGGGGCTCGAGGCGAAGTCTATAAATTAGGCCCCTCCCCACGAAATTAACGTAAATGCAAAATTCAATGGTATATCTTGCATCCTATTGCTAACTTAAAACTTAACATTAAAACAACAAATAAATATATTATTTCAACTATATATTATGCAACCTAATGCCCAATGATTAACCTAAAAGAAATTACGAAATATCTCAATCATTTCACAATTAGAGTTTTTAATATAGTTACTACGCGCGCCTGTACAATTGTCGATCATATAATAACCAACCATATAAGTCAACTGGATCGCCATTATATAAGCCGACAAGGTTTCAAACATTTCTAACATATTTAATAACAAGTTAGGGCAAGCCATTGCTAATTTGAAAAGTAGAATTTTAACGAAAATTATGGAATCGCACCCTTGAGAATTCCACCGTCACAACTCATAAGCTCGAAATATTGCTACCTTATGCCAGTCAGGGACGCTAAATAATAAATAGATATCAAACGTTGCAGGTTCAAGTAGGACACACATTTTTGGATCAATATGTGTTGAACAAATTCCCATTTTCTATTTTGCAAATCCAATAACATTTTTGATTATTTACGAAAAAATTTGAGCATTATGAATTTATAGAAGCAATACAAAATTAAAATGACATCTAGACTCCATAGCTGTCCCAAAAAATTTGTGACCTTGTCTTGTTGAAATTAAAATGGGTCATCGGTCGCACTGTCACATGTAGGAGGGAAAACGAATGAAAAACCAAAGTTTCCTTTAACTCCCTAAACCCTCAAAAAAAAATAATAATAATAATAAATAAATAAATATATATAGAGTTCTGGGCCAAAGGCGTAGGCCTCAATTGCCTCGGGCCAGACTGGCTATGCACATATTGGTGGGTTGAAAATGGAGGTACGATTCAACACTATTTCATCGCACCTGAGTGAGAGATGAGATTTCAAGATCCCATTAAAGGTACTTCGGTGCGTTATGATACGTAATATATAGTCTATGTTTTCAAACAAGCCAATTATTCTCGTTTAGATATGATTGTTGATGAGAAGGGGAGTCATCCTTGGCTTTATTAGCTATAGTTGGAATGCTATGAATATTGTCTACGCTTTGGATCTTTAATAAAGTTGTGCGTGTGGAAATCTTTAATAGTTTAATTCTAGATAGTCTTATTTAATTTAGTATTAGAACAATTAATCATCTCGAGTTCAAGTTTTATCATCATTCAATAGTGCATGACACCACAAAAGATACACGACTCCAATTCCAACATATTTGACACTTTATATTATGTAAACGCACATATACTATAGAGATAACATGGATAAGCACCATATATTGACTTTCTAGCTTGCTTCTAATTAAATTCATCTAATAGTATTGATACTAAATTGTCACTACATCTTCTTACTGATCGCTGCAATCTATCTAAACTAATAAAAGACCCTAATTTGAAGCTCAGCATGTACAATTGACACTACAAAAGATATGCAAGCCCTCGATGCTAACATAATAGGTATTGGTACGTATAATTGTATAATCGTATACTTACAATGCATTGATTAGAAGAATTAACGTGGATAAAAACTGCATTATCGAGTGTTTTAAACTTGCAGGAATATACGAGCACGTGCACACATACTTAGATTTTGTAACTCTGGATGCCAAAAGGCCCTCAAATGATCTCCTACGATTGAAGTTTCTTCCTTTATTTATATAATACTAGTCGATGCCACGTGCGTTGCACGATTATTGTATTTAATATGTCTTTATTAGCGTGATGTAGAGATTTTTGTTTTCTTGTCATAATCCTAACATGCTTTTGAAGTTTGAATTAAGTTTTTTGGCATGAATTTTCTCTGACAATTAGTAAAAATTAGATTTAAAATTGTGAAAATATAAGTAAAAGATAATTTATAATTTTATGGGAGTCCCACACGTGATCGTGCGGAGTCCGCACCAATTTGGGGACTCCACACCAATTTCGTGCGGAGTCCCACACAATTCGTGCAGAGTCCCTGCACAGACTCCACACCAATTTCGTGTGTGCGAGGACTTCACACCAATTCCGTGCGGGGACTTCGCACCAATTTCGTGCGGGGAAGTCCTCGCACAGTCACCAAGATTGCTACAAGAAGCCATACTCCACGGGTTCTAGGTGTTTGCATGCTCAAAGTGATTAAGAGAACTAATATCATCAAAATTCAGCAAAAATGAGAATATTTATTTATATAGGCAAGGGATGGAAAATGGAAATAACTTCCTAAAAAATGAAATGTAGAGCCATAAACATTGAAAAAAACACGCAACATATAATCATATTGTGCTGCTGGCTCATTTTCAATTAATTACTACCAAAAAGTTTAGCAACGGGAATTCTATAGGCACAGATAGAGATTCATATCGTCTACCCAATCATCTTACTATGCTCTGCTATAGCTTAAACTTATAGCTAAAAACTTAACAGAAACCATTTGCAACTATTAACTAAAATAACAAAACCCATTATACTTGGAACAATTCAATCATTTTTACCAAACTTATATGCTTGAACTAATCATTCATTGATTTCTTGCTAATTTCTTTAGTCCTACATTTTCCTACTTCTGGTGTCAAACCATAGCCTAAAAAATTAATCTATATTTCTTATGGCCAAAAATTCAATATAAAA